AAGTTAATTGAACCCTTTTGTTGCTCGTTAATTATCATTATAATTTTTTAGGCAATCACTGATTGGTCAATATAAATAGTTGGTTTACACTAATGCTCTCGACTTTCCGAATAAACCTCGCCCCAAACACATCTAATTCGCGGTGCTTCCAGTAAGCCCCTGCGTCTGAAACTGCGTCCAGCTGTTGTTAATTGCCCGGTTTAGCCGCTCTAAAAGTATGGTGTAATATCGCTAATTTTTGACTGAATTGCGACAAAAAACCTAATGCCTTTCCAAACGCGGCGGTTTTGATCGCAGCGTGCACGCGCATATTTACCATTCTTACAACCTAAAAAATATGTTCCTGTGCGTCGTACTTCGGGCTATGACGTGGTGTGCCATGTGTCTACCAGCTAGCTCTTGTTAAAGAGTTTTTTGCCCAAAACTGAAATCGTCATTTTGAAGTGGGCCGGAGAAGTACTGTTTGCGTAGCTTCAGCTACAACATGTACTTGATATGTACAAATTCTTACTTATGAGTTGTTAACGTAATGCTAGGGTCAATACGTACACCACAGTCTCATGGAGAACGAAAGTGCAGAGTGTCTTTCAGATGCTATCGGGTCGTTCAAGTTTAACAACTCTTCGTGGGAGCAAGTCAGGGTAATTGTGATTGACAAGGACATGGGTGAATTGGGATTACTAGAAATGGAGTTCCCTGGCGTGAAAGTGATTCTGTGTCACTTCCATTTGAAGAAGTATATTCGGACCGAGCTGGCAAAGAGCGAGTATCGAGGCCCGTCCAGCTTCGACAAAGACCAAGTTGAAGATGCTATCGATATGATGCGGCTGGCGGTTTCTACGGATGAGTACGTTGAGTATCTGAAGTATCTATACTTCTTGCTGGAAGGTGTTCGTCTTAAACGTGAAGACCCTGTACCTGTGCCTACGCATCTATTTTTGAAGTACTTCATGAAGAACTGGGATTCGATGAAAGAACGATGGGCGCTGTACGCACGTTCGTATGTTCCACATCTAGGCAACCACACCAATAATAGGTACAATTTCTTGCGCTATTGGTTCTACACTCACCTTTAACTGTGTTTTTGCCTGGTGGTTTGGTGGTCTGTAGGCTTGAAACATCATGGGGTCATATCAAAGAGGTTCTGAAGCCGGAGATGGCGCTGGATGAGTGCGTAGATACGCTGATGTTCTTGCAAGCAGTAGCAGAGATGGAGTACGGAAAGAAAATTACAGACGTGGGCCAGATGCGTTATGATGGTGCAGATCACGAGCTTGAACAGCTAGCGCGCGAAGTCAGCCCGTATGCGTACCGGCTTGTTGAAGAGCAGTATTGGGCGTCTAAGGATCGCAAGACAAGTTACGGCGTGGAGGAAATACATTCCAGCCTGTTTGTCCTGACCGGAGGTGGCGACACCAGTACATGCTATCATGTCGACACTACGGTAAGTTTGTCACCCGTTCGGGCCCGTGTAAACCCTAACGTACGTCGCTGTTGTTGCGTGCCTTTAGAGATATCACTGCTCATGTGTATTCATGAAGACGATGTTGCTTCCATGCCGGCACGTCATGTATTGGCGTCTTTTACGTGGAAAACAGGCAATTCCTATTCGGTACATTGCACCGGTTGTCGTGCAAGCTGAATCAACCTGCGCTAGAAGAAGACGTACCAGACAAAACAGTTGCGTGCACAACCTTCCAAGTCCGTGACTCTGCTATGACAGCAAGGCGCCATCACGTTTTAAATGGGACGACGAAGTACAAGCACGCTCTCGAGTGTGGAAAGCGTATTGCAGACATTATGAGCAGGAACGGAACGTTTGTATTTGGAGAAATGATGAACGCCTTGGAGAAATTTGAAGACATTATCAAGGACGGTGTTGCACCATTTGTTGGTCGAGAAGGTGAATGGGTAGACCCGCTTTCACAGCTATCGTCGCTGACATTTTCGCCTACGTTAAATACCAATGCTGTTGAACCAAAGGATGCTGTGATGAAAAGCGATACGGAAGATGAAGAAAAAATCAAGAGCACTTCCACAGCGAACTCGGACGATGACGAACCTCCGACTCAGCAGAGCGCACCTCTAGCTACAATGCAATGTGCTACAGCTACAATGCAAGAGCCTACAGTTACACCGTGTGTGACTAGAGGTACTTCCCACGTGACTTTGACCCCTCCTGCTACACAAGAACCACTGTGTGTAACTAGAGGCAATTCCTGTGTGACTTTAACCACCCCATAGGTGGATGCAGCAAGTATGTCTGATTCTAAACAAAATCCAAGCCAGTCCAAGCGCCAGCACATTAGCAGCAGTTCGTCAGAATCCTCGCAGTCTGGGTCATTTGTGATAACAAAGAGCGCAAAAAGTCGGGGACGTCCCCAAGTCAGAAAGAAGCAAGGAAAAGCAGAGGATCGAGAATAGCAAGAAGAAGGCTTCTAAGTTGGTACAAGAGACGCTGGCACCAGTTCCAAGCGTACGGAACATTGCTAAACTGTTGGACAACAACTACACCTATGAAGACGCCAAGAAGGTGCTACCCAATCTCACTATTCGAGCTGTTCCAAAGACCAAGAAGGCGAATGCTGGTATTTATCTTGAGGATGAGTGCATCTGTGACGTCAGATTTGTGTTTCCAAAACAATTTGTGGAAAAATGCCTGGCTGCGGTCGCAGCGTTTCGAAAAGGCTTGATTGAAACTGTCGATGACGACACTATTGGTGTAAGAGTTCCTCGCTTTGGGATATTCCGATACCAGGACATTGTCGCGATGGACCGATGGCACGCCTCCATGCAGTATTTATCTGCCACTGAAGATGCGACTACTTGGGCTGTCAACACTAGCGTCAAGCGCTTGTCTCTACCGGTAAAGATTGATGACGGAGTCAGCAGCGATCCGACAGAACGGAAAGTTATTTTCAGGCGGATTCTTCTGAAGGGTGGCCGCGAGACTTCGTTCGGTAGTGTGCCCTATAACGGACTACTAACGCTTCGAGAAAATATGTGGATGGATGATTCATGCATGGGGCATGGGATTGCTCTACTCCAACGAGAGCACCCGGATGTTGGCATCGTTAACCCGATCTTCAATCGTTTCCACGATAAAGACGCCCGGCTCAGGGCTATTAATGCAGGCAAGCCTTTCAAGAAAACGAACCAGATCATTCTGTTGCCGCTACACATAGACAACAACCACTGGTGTGGAGCAATTTCGATTATCGCAGCGAACGTCGAGGAGTCCTGGTGCTCGACCCCTTGCAAGACCCCAAGTCAAAATATTACGCCAAATGCGAAGAACTACTGAAAGACGTGTTTTTAGAAGGTGAAGACAGCTCCATACCCTTGCCGATTCAGAGAGTCACGAATGTACGCCAGCCGGACTTCTCAAGCTGTGGAGCAGCTGTTTTACTATTCTTTGAGTGCTACCTCACCGGCATCGATATGCCGGAAAAGCTCAGCCATGCCTCAATGCGTTTTTTCAGGCTTCGGTTAAAGTGCCTGCAGTAGGCGAGTTAGGAAGTCGATAACATGAAGATAATGTACCCCTGTAGTTCGCATTGTGATGCCTCTGTCTGTTGATTCCAATGTGTGCGTGCTGCGGTGATACTGTTGAGCTGCGTAAAGTGAAAGGTACTGGTCATGGTCTGCTCTACTCTAGCAGTACTCGTCAGGAAAATTCTCACTAAGTGCTTCGTACCTTCGGGTGACATTCATGCATTCCAGTTACATTACAGCAACACTTCATGCTACCAGTCGCGTGACTGGCTGTCGTCGCAAGCACCGATATCTCTAAAAATGAGGAATTTTTTAATCTGTTAAAATTAAATTACCGTAATATATTTTCGCGTAGTACCTTTAGTACGTATCTCGGGACCAATTAACACGAAGTGGCTCGAGTCACTCACACAGTGTAACCCTAACATTCGCTTAAGTACGAGCTACTCGGTACCTCTAACATTGATCGGTTATCTTTGGTATCAAGCTCTGTGGCGTGAGCAGCGGCGACGGGGGACCCTTGCGAGTAGTCATGTGTGCTGAACAACACCAATTCAGTTATGCCAGCTAGCAGCGTCGATCAAAACAGCCAAGTTAGGTTCTTTTTTCATAAGTACGCCCCCCATGGGATTCTTACAGCCCCTCGCACTCAACAGCGCCGCCCCGTTGTCGGCGCTTCAGGGTTAAGATGAGCCAGGTCAGCGCGCCAAGCAGCAACAATTAAGTGATCCCGTCCAAGTAATGTAGTCGCCATTCCTGACAAAGGAGGTGAACTTGCCAATAATAAGGAAGTCTTCACCTCATCGATACTGGTAAGCTCGAGTCTAGCTCGGCATTGGCTGACGACTCCTCCAGTCGTTGCACATTGCGGTGACCTGTAGGATGGGGGTCCAGTTTGGCCACGAGAGTGTACTGACGCGAAAGAGCGCGAATGATAATGGCCTCTCACGCATCAAACATGACATCGGGATGGACGCTTGGCCTAAGCCTGTCCAGGCTGGCTGGGGGGGGTCGAAATGTAAGATCCCTTGTGTTGTGCACCGATACGCTTGCTGATGGTATGGGGATGGGCAGCTCAACAATGGTCCACAGCGAACATCTGACAATCTCACAAGTCGCGTCATGACTGGCGAAGAAACGGGACCCAACCAGTGCCGGAGCAGGGCCTTACGTGTTGCCTTTAGTATTGCCACGGCGACACCATGATATCCCCAGCAACGCTAAGATGGTTTGCCCCCCCCCCCCCTAGGTTCATCGGGTGAGTGTACTTGAGGTCACTCACTTTTCAACTCGCACTCAAGCAAACACCATGGCCCCCAAAAACAACGCTCCGACATCTTCAGGCTCCACGTCAGTGGCGTCCTCGCCCGCTCCCGTCAAGAACGCATTGAATCTTGAGGTTGAGCACGCTGTATTCACACATCCCGAATTATTCGGCGAGTTCCCCACCACGACTTATGACCCGATTCCAGAGTTGCCGTACGAGAACCGAGCGCTCAAGGCCGACCCCTCCTTTAAGAATCGGCTCGCCGACGCGACCGTGACGCACCTAGAACCGAAGATCGGCACAGAGATCTTGAATCTGCAGTTGCACGAACTGACGGACTCGCAGAAGGATGAGCTAGCGTTGCTGGTGGCCCAGCGTGGAGTGGTGTTCTTCCGCGACCAAAAGATCTCAATTGAGGATCAGTTGGCTCTGGGTCGTTACTATGGCCCTTTGCACGTGTACCAAACAGTGGCACACGCTAAGGGTACCCCCCAAGTGCACGTTGTTGAAAATTTGCTTGAAGATAGCGAGAAGCGCATCAAGACTCAAGCCCTGGAACCTGTAAACCTGTGGCACAGTGACGTGTCTTACGAGCGTCAGGTGAGAAGCTGTGGGTGTGTCATGTGAGTTTGTCAATGGATGCTAATGTTTATCGTGATAGCCACCGTCATACACGAGTTTCAAGGTCTTGACTACCCCACCCACAGGTGGTGACACCTTGTGGGCCTCTGCGTACGAGGCGTATGATCGACTCACACCGCAATTCAAAAAGTTCGCGGAGGGTCTCACTGCCATTCACAGCAGCAAGGCATGAACAAAAACATAATTCTGCTGATGCATCTTCTGAGTAAGCTCTCACCATGTCACCTATGATGATTGCAGCGTCAAGCCGAGAGCGCTATTGCCAATGGGAAGACCCTTCGCCGTCCCATCGTGGAGTTCGAGCACCCTGTTGTTCGTACCCACCCGGTGACTGGCCGCAAAGCACTATACGTGAATGCCCAGTTTACCACTCGAATCAACAATTTGTCGGCAGCCGAGTCCGGTGCGTTTTTTTGTGTCAAGTTTGAACTTTGATATCTGCGGACAGAATGTAACCTTGTCGAATTTGCTGCCCAGCCTCTATCTTGCGTTTCCTGCATCAGCACATTGCGCAGGGACACGAGTTCCAGGTTCGTTACCGCTGGACAAAGGATGCGGTAGCGATTTGGGACAACCGCGCCACGGTTCACTACGCCACGTATGACTATTTACCCGGCAATCGCCATGCTGTTCGTGTGACACCTCATGGCGAGACCCCGTATTTTGAAATCACTAATGAGCCGTGAGTGGTGACAATACTTTGAGAATCTTGTAGGCCTTACATTATTTTGGTCTCCGGGAAAAACGCGTTAATATACTTACGACCAAGGCTCCCGGTTATGGTATTGTTATTTATCGGGGACCCTGCCATAGCATAAATAATGGCATTGGGCAGCTACTGCCAATTCATTCATTATGGCATGTACTGTGATCAAACAATAAATGAGAGCATTATATAAAACGACTCAACATCATTTAAAAAAAGGCACAACCTGTCGAAATCACACCGTTTCCGTGCTGTAATAACACCCTTTTGCCTGCGACTTGTGAATGAAAATGCCGTGTGAATAGCATAAAAACTAAGAAATCTTCTGAAAAATTATGGTAGATTGGCCTTTTAGCGCCTGGACGTGGCATCTTGGAGAAAATATACGACTAGCTGCTGCAGCAACCGAAGGGGGTGGTCAATAGCCCACCTGTTTGATTGGCTAATAATATTTTAGTCATGATGTCGCTAAAAAAATAATGTTTAGCTGCTGCGAACATTGACAACCCCTAATAACGTTACTTGAAGTACATTTGTTATTGCATTCGTGAAGTCGACGATTTTTTTTTTTATTTAGTAATAATTTATTGACAAGCATGCCATAACCGGGAGACCAGCTTACGATCAACGGATCCAGCTAAACATACAGAGGGGAAACGAGGGTTAGGTATGCATACTAGGTCGTTTTAATATAATCCTAATTCAAGATGACCCCCCAAGCGGCTTAAAACGACGACGATCACCGCCTTCTTCGACAAGCGCCAGCGTCAGTCTTCAGATGCAGATAGTGAACATAGTATACCAGCTGTACTACACTTGTCAAACAAATCAGCCAATGCCGGTAAGCTATCGCCATTAGATCTAGAGGCGCATGTGGTGTAGTGATTTCTCCGTAGTTGCGGATTATCACCCGTCGACAAAGACGTGACACCGCCCAAGTTGTTCAAGCGACGAGCCCTCGGTCAGGTGATGTACGGAGACGCCAAGGTGCAAGGGACTCGACGGCGTCACCTCCGAACGTTCAACGAGTATTGGATACGGGTATATGTCACTGAATCCAGGCTGTCCTTATTATTAATAATGGACTGGCCGGATTCGCATTCAGCGGACCATCTACGGTACGAACCCTCAGTGGCGGTTTGGATGAGTTCGCGGAAGACTCAGCGACCCTTGGGAGGCACGTTCACCGTCTGGGACAGGGCGCGGACCGTTAAAGATGCTCATGCGACGGTGCAGACGACGCTTGGCATGCAAGAAGATCCATAACGGGTCATTGTTCACTTGATATTTGTATACTTGATTAGGACTTCTTATTAGGAATAGACCCGAAAGGGTAAGCTTAAATACAGAACAGAATTTCCACTCAAGCACACAGAGCGACGTCCGGCTTCAAGGTAAGCGTCAGGTCAAGCTTGTTTGAGTGTGTTATGCCTGTCGGTGAACTCGAAGCTCTGTAGCGAGGGTTCATCCGGCAAGGCCAAGAGACTTTGTGTATTGGCCGATTATTATCGGGAGGTTTTACGTGACGGCTTATTGTTGCCTATTTGCACGACTGGGAGTGCTTGAATTGCCTCCCTTTTATTTCTTCCAGCCAGGTGTTGAACACTCGGTGATCTCGTAAAAGGCTTACCCGTGCCTGGTACCCTTCCGCTGTTGGGACCACGAGGATTCAAAACACCTGCTAGCTTTGCTCGTGCTAGTAGCGTGTTCTTATTTTTACTGGTTGGCCTATATAAGTAGTTTACAAGGTCCAGTTTGTCCCGGTGCAAGGGCAGAACTGGGGTCTTCAGGTCCGCCTGAACGATCGTTTACTATCCTAGTAGACGTATTGTTGTGGGAACATCCTAACTACATTTGTAGCTAGAGTTAACGTGGGATTTCCAACACCACAACTGGTGCCGCGACCCGGGAACAGATTGTGACCATTGTGAGCTGTTTGTATGGCCTTCCAGTTTACGAGCTACCAAGAGAAGAAGAACAAGAAAAAGACAAGAAACATGGCGAAAGGACAACCGACGGTACCAGTTATGCCTGCCAAGTCTGGCGGGGCTCGCGATGAGAGTTCAAGCCCGACTGCGCGCTTTGCAGCCGCCACCGAGCTTTCAGTGAGCTTCGACGACGAAGCGGACATCGGTCCTGACGCCCACGATTATGTAGATTACGAAGACAAGACGCCGGCTCCAGAGCCAGGCGCAGCGACGCCGGAGACGGCCACGCTATCATCGGGGATGAGCGGGGCGACCAGGTCCCTTTCGAGGAACCTCGCCGACGAGCTCGATGATGTTGCGGGACCAGAACCCGCCTACGAAGATTATGACGATGGGACCGAGGGTTCTAAACCTTCGGTGGCGAGTGCAAAGCATTCAGCACTACTGAAAGCACCTCGCCCACCTATCAACGGTGATTCACCAGCCGCCAAGCGCGTTTTCGACCGCGTACAAGCGCTGATGCAGAATGATGAGTGGATGCAGCTGTTCAAGCCCATCCCCAAGAAAAAAGCCGACTGGCCTGCGCTTGCGCAGGAACTTCAATACCCAGTCAACTCGGTTTCGACTAGCCAAGTTGCCGAGGATTCTTCCAGATTCGGAAGATAGGCGCACAGAATAAAGGTTTGTGATTGGTCTAGTCTCAATTACATTTGCAGAAAGGTGCACCGACCAACTTAATCTTGCTTGAGCCAAGCACACACGACCTCGATTTTAGTGCAGGGATTCCCTATTATCTTGATAAATATTGTATTAATATAAATATATACGAAGCTAAAAACACCACGTAGACATCCAGAAGCGCAAATACCGCTGTTGGTATCCTTATTTTAGATCTTAAAAAGTCCAAGGACGTGCACATTCACGTCCTTCTCTCCTGAGGTGTACACATTTTCCGGGTTAAATAGTGCACATTCGAGTAGGGGGAAACTGGCGTGCTATGCTTACCGACGTGAGTCTGCCGTGCTACAGCCCGAAGGCGGGCTGAGCCCCTCGTAGTTGAGGGTGCTAGACACACGCCCGCTACGGCATGGTGGCCGGGTTCCCAGTACCACTGACCATTTGTGCCACCACGCCGACGACTGACTCCTGGCTCAATCAGGTGTAGATCTTGAACATGTCGGATGCTCAGCGACCGTGGAATCGACATCATCGATCAAATTAGGCAAGGTATCTCCGCGAGCAATCCGTTGCCAACTCATCATTCAGGGATTACGCGCGAGCCTTTCACTACTGGACACAATGGACGAGGCTGTGGGGACTGTGGTGGCAGCTCGACGTCCCCCTAAACGTTCAACCCCACACGAGATCAAAGTTCATCATCAACATGTCCCGAGGAGGCTTCGGCTCCCGCGGACACGTACGTTGCTCGACGAAGTCTAAGTTATGCGGCATCCGTCACTTGTAAGTTGCCGCCGACCTCCGGTTTCCCATGGACCATCCACAGGTCTGATGAGCGTGGGCCGACGCGACGCTACCTATTCCCGGAAATCTACCGTGATCATCGTGACCTTAGATAAGTGTGTCGAGGAACTTGGCCTTCACGGCCCAGCCGACCAGGCACTATGGAAGGAGGAGGGGGGGAGGGGTACGTGTCTGTCCTTCTTCTTTCTGCTCCGTCGCTCCGAGATTGTGGCGACAGCGAACACATCATTCCGCTGGTTCGCCCTCAAGGCAGCCGACATCACGACGGTTGACCCACGGCAAATCCACGCTCACCAACTGCTGTGTACATGCGTCTTCGTGGCTTGAAGAAAGACCAACGGCGCGCGCCTACGACACGCATGCTATCACGATCGGGACACGCGGTCGCATGTCCTGTTCTGGGCGCCCTACTTCTGCTCCGAGCAAGAGGCAATCTATCAGCGACCATCCCAGCGGTAATGTTTATGGGTAAGGACGGTAAGTCCACCTGCGCGACGGCTGTCCGGTTGGATCGCGCTATACAACGCGCCGCAGGCGCCGCGGGCGAAGACACCTCGCGTTACAGTGCTCTCTCCGTCAGGGCAGGCGGAGCAACGAGCATGAATCAGGGAGGAGTGGATGCGCTCAAGATCCAATTCCATGGTCGTTCAGCATCCGACATGTTCAAGATCTACACCCGATTGAGCCAGGAGTCGGTCATCGGCGTGGCGGCACAAATGGTCAGTGGCACTGACCGGATTTGAGACTGTCGAACATATCGGCGTACCTGCTGCTCTCTCACTGCCGCGCCACTGCATTGGCCGCCGTTTTCCCGCTGTCTGGAATGTGCGTGGTCGAGACGCGTCTCCCTAATTGCATCTCTCATATGGCTAATAGGTGGCCGAGGACTTGAGCGCACGGGTTGCATGTTGACATTTTCCAAGCGATGGCTGAGGTGTTGTCGATGCGGAAGTGAACGTGGATGGGTCGAGTCACGTTGCGGTTGGCTTACCACGAGCGACCCCATGTGTAGACGGCAAACGCGCACGCAAGGAGTTCATGGTAGTTGATGTCGAAGTGGATGGTTCGTCCAGCATTTAAATCGCCAATCAGCTGTAGCTCCCGTAGTCTGAACTGGTACGCGAGGGATGCTCGACTCACTGAATTAATCGCGCAGGGCCCCACGTCTGAGGCGTTTGTAAACACGGTTATGTCGGGTTCGGAGAGGGCGCTAATATATTCAAGGGATCTTTCGTTTAGAGCCGGATCCTTTTGGATGTGCCGCCACCAGATGAGATCCTCGCGCATCGCTCCGCACACGCGCACGCGGGAATAGCGTGATAAACGGTTGCTCTCATACGCGTAATCGTTGCAGGAACGCTTGGGCAGGGCGGATGCGGGAGGTGATGTGGAGCAGCGAGCCCTGAAGGGAGCAGAATGCGCTCTGCAAAAGGTTGACCGCTTGAAGAGCGTCGCTGATGAGAGTCCGGAATTTGCAATCTTGCTCTCTGGCATCGAGACTTTGGATGTTTTGGTGTCGAATCCAAGACCGAGGACTTTCCGGTGCATGCCCCATGAAGTGAACTTTCCC